CTCCCTCTTCGCCGACACAACTACATTCTTCTAATTCGTTGTCACCTTCTTCTGCAAGTACGCATTCAAATCTATCTGTCCCTAGTTCTTTATATGACAGTTTGGATCCTGCGACACTGACAAGACATCCAAAACGTACAGAATCTGCTCCTGATATCTCGGAATTGTTTGCTGAAAATAAAGATATAAATAATATTAATCAAATTAATTCCCATTCTGCTGCGAAATCTATGGTAAACTTAAGTACTTTGAATCAAAAGAATACATCGCTTATAAATAAGGCTTTTCCGGATACTCCTCAGCAATACCTTGATAAATTGCGTGATACTTTATCGAAATCTGAATTAGCAACCTTGCTTGCAAAAAGGTATATTTCTTAAATGTGTTTTGCGACTTATGCAACTTTATAATTAATAACTTGATGAATTTTAATATAGCAAGGACGTGTTTCATGAAGCCGTATTGCGAACGTACATGGAGACTTTTAATTTTCGCAACGATCCCATCGACATTGCGTTACGGTAGGCTTTATTTTTTCAAAAAAATTATTTTTTTCCTCAACCTCCTCAATTTCGTTAAATTTGCGAATTCAGAAAATTTTTGTTGGATTGTTACTTGCCGAAGGAGACGCAACAAATAGATCGCGTCATGGAAGCATTTGCTAAAAGATACCATGAGTGTAATCCAGATGTGTTTGCTTCTTCAGGTTTGTCAAAATCATTTTTAAAGATCGGGTTTATTTTATGCATTCGTTATTTATTCCCATAAATTTTATTCTGATATTTGTAAATTTATTAAATTACAGACGTGGCATATGTCTTAGCTTTTGCAATGTTGATGTTACATACTGATGCCTTTAACAAAAGTGTAAAGCGTAAAATGACAAAGGATGAATTCGTAAATAATACAAGGATCGATGGCGTGCCAAGAGAAATCCTTGAGGTAATTGGTTCACTTTATTGATTTCGTCGACTTATAGTCCCATAAAAATAATTTTCTTATAATCGTAGATTCTTTACGATAATATAACTTTTGCTCGATTTATATATGCCGATGATGATACGGACGTCAATGGACAAACTATGCTTACATCTCCATCAGAAAATAGGCGATCTAGAATATTTGGTTCTTTAAAGGATCGCAGAAAATCTTCGTTTGTAAAAAACGATCCGTATTTTGTAATACAACATGTAAGAT